GGTGAGGGCCGGGGGCGGCACTGGGGGCACAGCGTACCCCAGGGCCTCCCTCGGGTCCCTGTGCCGCCTCCTGCTCCCCCAGCTGCAGCCCACCTGAGGCCACCGCCCAGCCCGGCCTTCCAGGGCCAGGCGGGGCTGTGTCGCGGGCCCGGCTGAGCCCTGCTCTCTCCGCAGTGTACTGGCTGGCCGGGGCACAGGCCTGCTTCACCGTGTGGTCAGGGCTCTTCCTGCTCCCCTTCTTCCTGCTGCAGAAGCCGCGGCGTCCGGCCCAGATGCTCAAGGCTGAGTAGCTGGGCTGCTGTGCCCGCGCCTGGGCCGGTCCCCTGCCGCCCGCTTCCCCTTCCAGCCCAGAAGACCCAGGCGGGGGATGGCTGCTCCCCACCTCGGGCTGGCCCCGCCGGGAACCCGGGCAGCTGGGAGGCCCTGCCCCTCGTCTTCCCACGCCCCGTTGCTCCCGGCGGAGTCAGGTCTCCAAGGCCCTCACGGTTTCTGCTGGGGTTGGTTTGGAACCAGCGACACTCTGGCAGCCAGTTTTCTGAATGACAAAATAAAGCGGCTGTTGAGTTTTACCAAGTGCCTGATTCCAGGAGGGGCCCTGCCTCACCACTGCCTCCAGGAGCCCCTGGGGCTGGACGGCTTTCATTACTCCACTGAACAGAACAGCACAAGGCTCCTGGAAAGCCTGGCCCCCTGCACGGTGGAGGGGGAAATCTGATGCGGACCTCCAGGGCTGAGCTCAGCCCTTGTGAGGTGACCTGGGCGTGCACCTCACAAGCTGGCAGCCTGGGGAGGAGGGGCCCTCGGGCTATCCCTATCACAGGCCACCCCCATCGGACACAGGCACACTGCTGTCTGCTGAGCCCGTGAGGGGAGACAGGTCTGCCGAGCCCGGGGGCACAAGGACTGTCAGGGCAGCTTTCTGTGCCCTGCGGGCCAGCCCGGCAGCTCCCTGGACACCTTCAGCTCATGGGGAGGGACAGCAGGAGTGCTGGGCCAGAATGACCAAGACACGAGCACTCTGGGGATCTCCTTTGGGGACGGGTGACAAACTCAAATCCTATTTTAAGGAAACAAAGTAAAATGTAAAATTGCTTCTTTCCAGATTTAGACAAGCAAATTGCTTAAAGAATTTTATTTGTGAGTAAAACATGTTACAATGAAGGGAGGACATTCAGAACCTGTCCTCCCAAGTCTGTGCCTGTATATGCAACTATATTTCCTGTTGTAATACAAAGAAGTAAACTACAAAAGTGAAAATTAAAAGTCATTGCATATGTGGGATCCGAGGAAGGGATACGAGGAGGGGAGAAGGGCGAGTCCACAGTTAAGTACTTCAATACCACCTTGGCAACAAAAGGACACAGAGAAAAGCGGCTCGCCCGCCAGTGGAGCGGCCCGCGGGTCAGAGGAAGCTCGGAGAGCGCTCAGTGCCATGCAGCCAGCCTCGGCATTTGCGAGGTGCTGGGTCAGGAGGCGGTGAAGTGGCTCGGCCCACCCCGCGCGGGACCCAAGCCCACATCTGCCACCAGCGCTACCTCGTCCCCCAGTGGGGAGCCTGTCTGGGGCCCACGTAGGCCGACACACCCGAGTCAGGCTGGCACCGGGTGGCTCCTGCGGCGGGTCACCCTCGAGAGCCTCGCTGGCCACCCCCCCCAGTTCCTGCTAAGCAGCTTCAAGCCCTTCTAGGGATACGAGTTAAGTGAAAATTCACAATGGTGTCGTCAAGGGGAGCAAGTCATGGACTCCACAAAGTCAGATGGGACTGCCAGGGCCGGCGTCTTCCTTGAGTTACCTTTTATCAAAACCTGGGCAGCTTTTAGGCAGAGTTAAGGTGAGAATAAGCCCCCTAAGATCTCCCCCAAGACAGGCAAGCAGTGCTCTGCCGCAGTCTGCCACAGGCTCTGAGAAGAAAAGAAAAGCAAAAAGCAGCCTGTTCATGTTCACAGTCAAAAACGTAGGCTGAATTGTAAGCCTGCTTAAAGAAAATTCTAGAAAGGACACTTCCCTCTCCTGATATACCTTCCCTGCAACAGGACTCCAGAGGCCCAAGTGATTAAGCGACTCTGAGCTCCTGAATTTGGTTTTGATCAAGGGGCGATCGTCAGACGCACATCACTGCAGTGGTGCCCAGGCCCAGCATCCAGCCCAAACCCGCCTCCTCAAGGCAGCCATGGTGCCCTGGGCCGTTGGTGGGCACACAAGTGTTTTCACAGGACCAAGGCTTTGTGGATGAGAATCAAGGGAGATCACGGAACAGATAATGCCAAAGGAAGCCATGAGGCTGGTTCAGTCACCTGAGACGCCGTAGAGGGGGAAGGGAAGTCAAGCCGAGGCAGAGTGTGTGTTATTTCACAACAGGAAGGACAGCAAAAGGTCAAGGCTCAGGAGGGTGACACCTGTAACCAGAACCAGCAGAAGCCTCCAGTACCTTCCAGCATGACCACCACCCGTGGGGGGGCGCACATCTCAGGGGCCGCCGGAGCCCAAGGCTCCCCCAGGACCTGAGGCTGCAGGCCCACAGCAGGGCAGGGGCTGCAGAGCACACACTCGGGTAGCACCGGAGGCTGCATGGCGCTGGTCACAAGAGGGGAGCTCTAGCTATGCAGAGGGCTTGGCTTTTTGCATTCCATTACACAAGAGGACAGAGCACGAGACGCAATCGGGGACGCTGGCGGAACCAGGGTCGCTTCTGACACAACAGTGTTAGTGCAGGCGGGCCACCCTCAAGAGTCACTCTTCTTCTTGCTCTTCTTCAGAAAGGAAGGGGTGCGAAACTTCTTCTTCTTTTTGGACGGGGACTTGCCTGGAGACCCATCACTGCCAGGGTCTGCGACCACCCCCTCCTCGGCAGCTGTGGGGACAGCTTCTTCAGCTGCTGGGGCTGGCTCGGGGTTGGCCTCGGCGGGTGGCTTGGCGGGGCTCGGGGGTCCACGGGCTTCCTCCTCCTCCTCTAATGTCGGGAAGCCAAGTGCTTCTGAAGGCTCATCAGGGGACAAGTCGGGGAGAGTCGGCTTGAAGGTGGCAGCATCACTGTCATCTCCAGAAGTCAGCTCCTGTGGAAGGTCTGATGGGTGGGGCGAGAGAAGCAGGGTTCAAGGTTTCTGCCCAGATCTCAAAGGGCAGCTTGAGATGACTCTGAATTTTTACCAAGACAAGAAACTACACGATATACACTCTACTCTAAGGCTGGATGTAGCTAATGGTATAAAACGTAGACTGAGTCTCGGGGCAGTTTCAGCTCCTTCTGGACAGCAAGATGACAAAACCAGATGCTGTCACAGGCCTCGCTCCCCCAGCCATAGAGACTGCAACAAGGTAAGATGAGGACGTTTTCGGTCGTTAACATTCTGCATTAAACACTTGAAAAATTTGCCTATGACCCTAACGCCCATATTAGTAGTCCTGAAACTAAGCCCACATCTGGGCCCACAACACCTGGTTTCCCCAGAACAGCCAGTAGAAAATCGTCAGTTAACCTCCAGGTGCCATGTATGACATCAGCACCCAACAGAGCAAAGCCATCTCAGCGTCTCCTAAAAGGAGAGGGGGGCTGTGAGGCAAGGAGCAGGTGCGGAAACTCCAGCCATCTCCACAGTGGCCATCTGAACATAAAGGAGCCAATGTCACTTCTTGGAAAGGAAAAGCCTGGGGGCTGGCTTCCACCGGGTGGCCTTGGTGCACTTTCACTGACCCAGGGGACACCAGTTTTGTGGATTTTCAAACGGCCTACAGAGTTACAAACAACTTGCATGTTAGGCAATACCAAGCCGTTTAGTACTTTAAAATCAAGCCACAATCAGGATGGGGAGGAGCTGAGCTGAGCACAGTCAGAAGCGCAGGAGGCCCAGATCCCAAACACTCAGTGCTTCACCTTCAGGAGGCTGGAAGTGCCCTGGCCCTGCCAGCTGCCCCAGGACAATCCAGAGCCACACTTCATTAGGGCAGGAGGGAGTGCCGCGGGTACACTGATGACCCCCGACCCTGCCAAGCATACGACAGCCAATGCTCCAGGTCAGGGTGCCTGGGCTGCTCAGAACCTCTATCATTTGACCCAATGCCACCTTTTTCTAAGTGCTAACTATCGCTCTTCTGCCCACCTCAAATCACCAGTCCCTGCTTAAGGAAAGGTCCAAACAAATCCAACTCCATGCAGCAGGTGGCAGAAGCCCACCCTGTCTGAACTTAGGCTGACATCTGATTCAGCGGGGTAAAATCCTCCCACCCAGCCATCAAAAGAGCTTGTCCAAGGCTGAACATAAGCACTTCTGAGGCCGAGTGCTTGGGCAGCGCTGCTGTAGCGGTGGAAGCCCCAAGGCCGTCCTGCCACCCGTGCAGGCAGCTTACAGTGCTCAGGCGACCCAGCCACTTCTAGGAAGGCCACTGAGGGACGAGGTACAAAAAGGGGGCTGTTTTTATTCGAATAAACAGAAAACAAAATAAACAACAAAGAAGCAGGGGAATGAGGCAAAGCACAGGGCATTCTGGTTAAAGAGCAGAAGGCCAGACGCAGTGGTACTTACTACGGTAACAGGTACTCTTTAGCACATCCATCTCCTGTTTGTAACGCAGCCACAAGAAGAGAAAAGCACAAGTAGAGAATCTATGCATTCAGTCACAGCCATTGGGTTATGTAAGAAGAAAGGCCAAGCCATTCTTACGGAACACAGGACGGGGGTGGGGCTGAGCCACAGGCCTCACGGACACATGATGTTTGAGACCAAGGGACAAACACCCAGATCACACACCACAGACATGCGGTGGTCTGAGAGGTGACCAGAGTACAGCACTCTCAGTGGACTAGTTAATGCAGCAAGTCACTGTAGCTCAAACACAATGGAAGGCATTTCCAGAGGTGTCATCTAAACATGGTACGGTAAGAGAAGTGTGCAAGCCGTGGGCAAAACTGACATCAGAAGTGATGGTGGGCACCACTCTGAGGTGTGCTCTCCTACCTGGTCATAGCAGCTCACTAACCAATCTGTTTTGCCTCCAATTACCAGTACAAGAGAAAAGGCCAGGAGCTTCAGAGCATGTCACGTACTGGTTCGACGCAAATGCACACTTGTGTCAACAGAACTACGACCGCGTCCAGCTGCAGCACACGTGAAGCCATGCACCCTCCCACAGCAGGGCAGCCGCGCCCCTGCTGTGCCCTGAGCTCACCTTCCTCAAGCTTGATGGGAGTGCTGGGGGGGGTGTGGGGCACAGCAGATGGGTCTAGAGGACTCTTTTCCTTCTGTTCTCTCGTCTCGTCCAGATTCTCTGCAGAGAAGGACACGGCAAAGAGCTTTAGACACGTGAGCCTCCACCGTCCTCGAAGGCAGGTGGGTCAGCCTTCCCGGGGCTGAGCTGCTGCCTCAGGATGCCAGGCTTCGTCGGGCACATGCCACAGCCATCTTCGCCCTTGTCCTCCTCCCTCTCCAGGAGGATGAAGGAGGCTGACGACGACTGGGATGCTGAGTGACTGGTTTCGATTTCAGAATCGTTTCACCGACTCTGGATACAAAAAGGTCTGTTCTGACTCCAAAGAGAACCTGCCAGAGCTGCCGCCGCAACAGACTGCGACCAGTGTGCCCACCCTCCTCTATCTTCTGCCAGTGAACAGCCCCTCCCTCACTGCCTGGGCACTCCCTGCTGAGCAAGCAGTCGGGGTCCTGAGCCCCTTGCCCTACTCGCTATCTCAAATGATGCTACATTACCGCGACTCTGGTTTTACCTCCAGTGGCCGGGCACTTTCCACCAATAATTTAAGCTTGGTAACTATAATACTTAAATGCGCACACGTATAGCACATGCGCGCGCACACACACAGTGGCAAAAAATTGTATGCCCATTTCAAGGAAGGAAAACACTGTTAAAACTGTAGATGAATACAAGTTACATTTGACTTCTGCAATTACAAGAGGTGCTCAAAGTGGTTACCATTAGCCTCTAGACACTTCTGATTATGGCAAACTCACAGTAAAACATAGATAACATCTCTTTTTTTGAGTTAGAGTCTCACTCTGTCACCCAGGCTACACTGCAGTGGCACGCTCATGGCCACTACAGCCTCGACCTACTGGGATCAGGCGATCCTTCCGCCTCAACCTTCCAAGTAGCTGGAACTACAGATGCACGCCACCATGCCCGGTTAGTTTTTTTGTGATTTGTTGTTGAGACGAGGTCTCACCAAGTTGCCTGGGCTGGTCTCGAACCTCCAGGCTCAGGCAATCCTCTCGCCTCAGTGTCCCAAAGTGCTGGGATTATAGGCTAAGCCACCGCACGTAAATAGTTGGTCTAAAACAAGACTTAAATTGGAGTGAATTGAAGGTCTCCTTAAGAGAAATGCAGTTCCCAGGATGACTCTATGACCCAAGAGAGCAAAACAGTCAGTCTCAAACACTGAGACCCACATACTGAGGACCACAAAAGCAAGGCTAATTCCAGAGAGTAAACCAAGGAGTACACACTTAGATTCTAGTAAAAAGATCTGGGTTGGAGCTTAAGGTTGGCCTGAACCTCCTATGGGGGATCCTGTGCCCCTAAGGTCATCTTGGTGCCAGCCAAGGGTACTCAGTGCCCAGTGGACAAGAGGCTGGTGCTGGGAGCTTGGAGAGAAAGGGTCTCAGCCTTCATGGAAAAGGCATCAGGAGGCCTGCAGCTCTTGGTAGTTCTCAAAATATTTGGATCTACTTTTCAAAACCTAAAGTTTGAAACCACCCGCCTCCATGAATTCCCGACACTTTGAGCCATTTGTTTTCATTTGTTGTAAAACTAATGTTTACCAAAGCGTGACCACCTTTGTCAGTAAGTAATCCAGTCAATCACTGAGACCGTGAGCTATCTGGCCAGGAAAATTTGCCTACCAGCTGCACTCACTCCTTGCACTGGCAGCCAGACCCCAGACCAGGAAGGATCATCTGCCAGCCTCACCCAGCCCAGTGGCAGGTCCTGTGGTGGCAGCAAGGACTCTGCTGCTTTTAAATTCTGAGCTCAGGCCAGGCGTGGCGGTTCAAGCCTGTAATCCCAGCACTTTCAGAGGCCAAGGTGAGGGGATTGCCTGAGCCCACACAGGTTTGAGAACAGCCTGGGCAACTTGGTGAGACCTCATCTCTACAATATATAAAAAAACTAGCCAGGCATGGTAGCATACGCCTGTAGTCCCGACTACTTGGAAGGCTGAAGTGGAAGGAATGCCTGAGTCCAGCAGGTCAAAGCTGGGGGTGGTCATGAGTGTGCCACTGCACTCCAGCCTGGGTGACGGAGTGAGACTCCAACTCAAAAAACAAAAAAATTCTGAGCTCAGCCTTTGGCAAGGAATGGGGAGTCGTGAAAGGCACCTGGCATCCCTGTTTCCTAGCAGGAGTGCTTCCGGGCTATGGATGGCGCCATCACTCTGAAGTGCTGCCATAGTGGCCAGGGGGCCTACCCCTCTCCCAATCCCTACAAAGAGCTTGCAATGGGGGTCGGAGATTAGTCTGACAAGCCTGGCTGCAGGAAGAACTTTGCAGCAGTCATTTTGAGTCTGAGCACTGCTTAACAAGAGTGGCGGAGCTGGAGTAGCTGCCCCTCTCGCCCTGTGTGAACTATTTTGAAGGGCAGAAAAAGCCCTACGGCAGCTAGACTATACCTAACTGCAAAACAACTAAAAATAACACTAAAGTTGGGTGCAATGGCTCACGCCTGTAATCACAGCATTTTGGAAGGCAGAAGTGAGAGGAATGCCTGAGCCCAGGGGTTCAAGACCAGTCTGGGCAACTTGGTGAGACCTCATCTCTACAGTAAATTTTAAAAAACTAGCTGGGCATGAAGCTGCATGCCTATAGTCCCAGCTACTTGAAAGGCTGAGGTGGAAGGATCGTTGAGCCCAGGAGGCCAAGGCGACAGAGTGAGATTCTTACTCAAATAAATAAATAAATAAAATTAAAAACAATAAAAAGAGAAGAGTTGGTCTTCACAGATGAGGAAGAACCAGTGAAACCCCAAGCCGCAAACGTGATGGTAATAAGGACAGCAGAGCAACCCTCTGAACAGAGGCCAAGTGCCACGTGTAAGACCGAACATGAGTCCAAGTTGGGGCTCTGCCCCATGCAACCTTGCCCTTGGGGAACTACTTTGTCTCTGACCCCCACATTCCTCTGCTCCGGCTGGCGGGAACCAGCCCATCACTAGGGTCAATTTGAGAATCAGAAGAGATGCATGGGTGCACACACAGCAGGCGCCCAGCACAATGTGACTCCTCAGGACGATCCGTGCGAGTTAATGAATCAAAATGGAGGCTGCAGTGAAACTTTAACAGATAGAAATTCTGAGCATATACAAGAGATAAATGTCTCTTAAAGATAATACTCAGGCCAATGTGGTGGCTCACGCCTGTAATCTCTGCACTTTGCAAGGTTAAGGCAGGAGGATCACTTGAGTCCAACCAAGAGTTTGAGACTGCAGTGAGCTATGATCACACAACTGCACTCCAGTCTGGATGGCAGAGTGAGACCCTGTCTCAAAATAACAGTAACTATACCATTATTCAGGCTGGCTTTTCTACCAACTAACGAAATTAGTGGGCTTTTTTGTTTTTGTTGCCCAGGCTGGAGTACAGTGGCATCATCAAGGGTCACCAGAGCCTCCAATTCCTGGGCTCAAGCAATCCTCAAGCGATGGCCTCTCGAGGAGTTGACACTACAAACATGCATCACCACACCCAGCTAATTTTTTGTAGAGACACAGTCTCCCAATGTCACCTAAGCTGGATAACAGATTAGTGAATTCTTATGTGAATATTCTGATTACTCCACATGGACAGAAGTCCCTGGCAGAAGGCCCAGTGCCCTCACAGCCTGGAACATTCACAAGTGTGTCTAACTTTGCAATTTCTTCCATTCCAGCCTGAAACACTAGGTTGGAAATGGGGACTGGAAATAACATTCTGGTCTTAAATCAAATACGAGGTTAGTCTTTGATGCACATGACTATTCTTGTCACCACCTGAACAAAGAGAAGTTCCCCAAGCACTTTCTCTCGCCTTCTGGGGCCACCCCGTGTCCAGGACCCTTGAGTACTCACCTTCGGAACCCTTCTGCTTCCGCTCCACCTCCCTGCGGTATTCTTCCAGCTCACGGTCTGTAAGCGTGTTGAAGGGGTTAGGGCCCGTGGTGCTCACAATGACATGAGGCTGATACTCCTTCTCAATGATGGCCTTGGAGGCTGTTACCAGCTCTCCCTGTGAATAAAATGGATATCTAGTCTGCAGAAGCCCAGCCTGATGGGTACTGTCCCTCCTCCCCGGCAGGCTGTAGGCAGGTGGGGGCGGGAGGCTTTCTGGGAGCAGACAGACACCCCTGAGACTGCACTACCATGGGCCCAAGGCCTTGGCTGAGCTGCAGCCTTCAGTGGCAGATGTGGAAACATGGTTCGATGCTACAAAACAAATGTAACAGAAGAAATCCTTCAAAAGTCCTTCAGGTTTCAGAAGTAAAGGTCCCAAGTGCAGACTCAAGAGCACCTGTACACCTCAGGAAGGGTTCTTATTGCCAGACAGAAGAGGGAGAGGTCCTTTCCCATTACTGAATAGAAGTCAACTACTTTCCCTTGTGACGTTAGAAAACGTCATAAGTTACAACACTCAGAGTAAGGTACACTTGGAGATAAGCTTATAGTCTAAGAGTACAGATAAGTTCTGTTCTTTTAATAATGCACTTAGTTTATAACTAGCTCCTTTCACAGACAGCAAAATGTCCCAGGGACACCAGTATTGTCTGAGGAATTTGGAAATTGTGAGAACTTGTACTAAGGAAAAAAGGAAGAAAGCAAAGCAAAGGCACAAAGGCAGCTCATAGACCATGCCCAATCTTAAGAAGGAGGTGGATTCGTGACCTGCCTGGGCAACTTGGTAAGACCTCATCTCTACAATAAATCAAAAATTAGCCAGGTGTGGTAGCGCGCGCCTGTAGTTCCAGCTACTTGGAAGGTTGAGGCAGAAGGATCGCCAGAGCCCAGCACGCTGAGGCTGCAGTGGCCAGGAGCGGCCACTGCACTCCAGTCTGGGTGACAAAGTGAGACTCCAACTCAAAAAAAAAAAGGAGGTGGAGCCTGCAAGTGGGCACAGTGAGACAGGCAGCCCTGGGGGTACACTCTACACTCTACCCACACTTGCTTGACCCAGTACAGCTCTGTGCCCACAGTGCAGCCTGGTTGGGTCAAGAGCAGGAAAATGCCCCCAAATGCTCTGGGATTCACTTCTGAAAAAGTTAACCAGAACTCACACCCATGCATATGACTTAATGACAGCTTCCAAAAACAAACGAAAACAGGAGAATACAAAATCATTCTGATGGCAGGCCTGGTCCTTCAGTGCTTGCCTCAGTTAGGGTTGAATATCAGAGGTAGAAAGCCCTCCAGCCAAGCTCATTCCTGGGAAAATCCAGCTCACATGGGTCAAATGCTCCTCAGGCGGAGGCAGGGGAACCTAGACTAGCTGACATGGGTGGTCACTACCTGGCAGAATATAGGGTGTAAGGAGCCCTTCATAACTGACAAGTGACTCAGAGCCCAGACAACTCCTGCACAACAATCTGGAGACTCATGACAGTCTAAATGGTCAAGGGGAGCCCTCTTTTTACTAGGCCTGAACGGAGGCTGACTGGTTTTCTATTTAGAAATAGTCCTGCCTCATCGAGACGTGAAATTGAATCCTTGCCTGCTACTTGTGAGCTCTGTGACCAACACAAGCCCCTTCCTGTCCACAGGCCTCAGTCCTTACTATTTGCAAGAGAAGCTGGTTGGACTGACAACTGCTCAGCCTCCTTCAAGTGATGGCACTCTATACATTGATGACAATTTGGCTAGCTGCACCTACATGCTGGTATCATTGCCAATAAAAAGAGAGGGTGACATGAGGTTTGAAAGAAATGCTTAAATTCATTTAAATCAGATGTTTAAAACGAGTAAAGGAATAAAATGTCAAAAAACGACTGTCACAGGCATCAAAGCCCTTGTTTCCAGTTTCAGTGATCCAGAGGACAAATCAGGCTCCTCCCATGCCAGGAAAGCCAGTGCTCAAGGCAAGAATGGCAGGCTCCCACTTCGAGTGGCAAAGGGTTCCCTCCTCCAAATACCTCACCTAAGGGCCAAGCTGCTGTCAAGATCATCTGTGAACAAACATAGGAGCAGAGTGACTGTGTCACTCTGGAGGGAAAAAAACAGTAATACTTGAGATGCAGAGGAGAATGAGCCACTTGTGGAACAATCAGGTTGAGAAATCGGGGTGTGCAACAGCTTCTCTTCCAGCAGGCCCCATGGAGGTCCCTACTGCTTCCCTCCCTTCCCAGTCACCTGACAGGGGCTCTAAAAAAACAGGCCCAATAATGATTTCTGTGCTTGACAGAGGCAGCTTGGGCTCCGCCCCCAAAGCTGTGAGAACCTGGGCTAGTGACAGATGTCTCTAAGCACCAGGTTTTCATGTCAGCAGGACAAACTCAGATCTTGATTGACATTCTTAGCGATGGGCCATACACTTCCAGGTGCTCAACACAAAGTCACTGAGAGAGTCTGAGAGGTGGTCTCACTGCCCCTTGCGTTTCCACCACATAGCATGAAGGGTGGCAGGGGCACAGCCCCTGAGGAGGCACATGTGGACACAAGGAAGCTCACAGTACACAAATCAGACCCAAGAGTCCTTCCCTGGGCTAGACAGTTTGCTGCGTAGACAATGACACTCTCGTCTCTAGCCACTCAATCTACTTGCAATCAAATGCAGAGGCCAATGTCATTTCAGGCGATGTGTTGTGATGTCCAAAGCCAAGTAGACAGAGTCTTTGACTGGCAGCATCCCACTGGGAACTATGACTCGCTGTCCCTTCTCTGGTCAGAAGGCAACACCTGTGTGAATAGCCATCACCAGGGAGGGAGAAATGGAAGGCAAAGAAAAGACCTTACAAGAAAAGCCCCCAGCCCTGTCCCAAAGACCTGTTCCTTCAGTTCTCAAATGGGAGCAAGACTCTATAAACTTGCCTCATTGGGAAGAGTTTTGAGGAATTAGTCCTCCTTAGTTGGTCAAGGAAAAATTCCACTTGCCAACAAGCAGCACTATGTTCCAAAAGGAGCAATACTGTCTGCATCTTGAAGTCCACCTAAAAGGAAACGGAACAACAGTCCCAGTAAAGGACATCTAGGAGTCAAAGCATTCTCTCCATAAGAATGAAATATGTATAAAGATCAAGGATGCAAATGTGAACTTCAGAAACAGGGAGGGAGGGGAAAAAAAGCCAGAAGAAGGATTTACGTTCAACTTCTCTTCCTCTAGGGTCAATGTGCAGTGGAATGTGTCACTCACAGCACAGTGTTCAGACGATGGGGACTCTATCTCTATCCTTCAGGAAGCACTCCAGTGACTGTGACGCACCCCCACGTCTGAATACCACTGGGACAGGGCAAACAAAGCTGCAACTGGACGATTTAACACAGCTCTCCAGGCTGCTTTCTGGAGAGCCCTAACAACAGACAAATAAAATCCACTCAGTGCACTATAACACCCAAGAGACAGCACAGCAGTGACTATCTACGACTCTGCTCTGGCCTCACAAAGCTGGAGGGCTGCACTGCAAGCTGGCTCTGCATGGCAGGCCTCCTGGGCTCATGGCCAACACAGGTCCTCACACACACACCTGAGATAAAGAATGATTGACTAACAAGATGGCAACAAAGTAACAAAACATACAAAAAAAAAAACCAAAACTGAAGGGAAAAAGAGTCATCTTTCCTCTATGCTCTGAGAAGTTCCTCCAAGAATAGTAGCTGGAAGTAAATTCTAAGTACAGGGGAAAACGGGACCAATGGAATCAATACATAAATATGTAAAATCATGTTACTAGCAGGGATTCCAGAATCTTTGGCACAACCTACCTCTATCTGGCAATTGGAACATCACTAAAGTGATAACTGCATCTCACTGAAGGTGTATTAAGTGAAAGAGATAGCCTGGAAATTTACTTTGACCAGAAGCTAAACATCACAGCTAAGACTCACACTGCACAGATGGCCACTTTCTGCCCTGTGCTTCAAGTTCTGCACACTAGCAGTCTAAACGCTTAGGGAAGGTTCCCTTCTATTCAGGCAAGTTAGACCACACAGATCTTTCACCTTCTGTACACGCTAGGTATGCATGCATGCACACAAATTACAATTTGGGTTTTAATTTTTCATAAGTCTTTCTCCTCTGCAGCATTAAAAAATTATGTAGGGATTTCTATAGAGAAAAATAAATACATTTATCAACAAGGGCTGATAAAGACTTCCCGTTCCTCTGAAATGACATCTTTCAATCATTTGACCTCTGATGGCTACATTCATTATATTTACCGCCAAAGCTGAACCAGCGAGGGTAGAAGGGCACACAGGGAAGCAGCCACTGCCAGCAGACTGCCCAGAGGAACCCAACTGCAGTCAGCATCATGGAAAAGGCAAATTCTGAAACCCAAAACATGCACTGACCAAAGTCACATGCAGAACTTCAGAAAGGCACCATATATCACTCAGATCGACCATTTCTCAGCAACAACTCAGAATGCTGAAAACTGTTAAAATATCTCATACCAAATGTTTTAAAGAATAGAATAGGTAGAACAGAACCTTCCATACAATCTCACAAATAATTTAAGGATCCATTTCAAGCTAGTCCAGGAACTAAGACAAAGCCTAAAGAGAGGAGAGGGGGAGGGGAATAGGAAAGGAGAGCAGCATGTACCGACAGGTGGTCAAGGACAAGGCAGTGAGTACCTTTCTAAAACAGAGAGATCTAGCGGGACTAAAGGTCTGCTCTGTAAGCTCGAGCCCTTCGATAGTTTCCGTACAGTCAGAGAGGGGCGCATCCTGTAACAGTAAACTGAGTCACCAGAGCACACAAGGCCCAGCCTGTGAAACACTAGCTGAGAGCACAGGATGGAGCCAGCTAAGAGCATGCAGCAGGGACAGCTGTCAACAGTGAATGCAGCAGTAATGACAGTGGTACGTGCAGATACTAAACACGAAACCAGGACCACAGGTGGCCAAATTCAGAAATGCAACAACAGTCATCTACCCCTGCAGAGTCTTAAAGCATTAGGTGGCATATTAATTTTCAGAGATAACTACTTACACAATTATCTTCCATTTGCCACGAGGTAGAGTCATCTTGTGGAATGCATGTAAATGTGTACCACATTTACAGGTCCCCACCCCTCTGCAACCCAAGCAGCACTCTGTTGCAGACAGCATTATATGCCAGAACAAGAGTTCCTTCAACCCACCCTCTTCCAGCATTTTACCCAGAATACTGCTAAACCCAGGGTGAATCCAGGTCCCAAAGCTGGTGGCATATGTGCCACCCCCACATATGCATGCATTACAAGGAGCAGGGAATAGAGGGATGGACATAGCCCTTGGCATGCTTGCTTGGTCTAGAACTCAAGGAAAAGTGACTGAATTGTTTCTTATCATGAATATTTTAACAAAGGTAAATGGTTGCCTAGAATACTTACCTCATAAAGTCATTCTCTCTCAATTTAAGAATAACTTTGGGGCAGATGGTCATACAGCCACCACCCACTAATGTCAGAGACATTCTGAGCTCTCACCTGGACAAGGCTCCTGTCCATCACTACACCACACAAAACCTGGGACTGAGGGCCAGCCGTCTTAATGTCCTGTAAGTTCTGCTCTCGGATCTGAGGATGGGAAGGAGAAGCATACGTCAATAGTCCTGAGAAGTCACGCTGTGACTGGGAGTCATGTTGTTTGTGCATCTGAACCCCAGTCACATGGAAGCTACATTTCTACTCTGGCAAGGCAGCCCAGTGCATCCTGAGTGACTACCATGCCTGCATGATGGGACTGGTCCAATATGCTTAGTGGGGCATGAATGTGGAGGGATAAAGGGACTATTCCAACTTTCCAAACCTTCCAGATGCTTTGGTAGGGCACAGATCTTTCACTGTACTCATTAACTTGGGGAAAAAATTCCCTGTGTACCCATCTTCTAGTGATACTGTGAATGCTGATGGATCTCATGCTGTGATACACCAAACACCATTCACAAGTCTTTGAATGAACCCTGAAAGGCAAAGGCAGTTGTCTGCTCTTGCTAGGAACAGGTTTTACAGCTTCCAATTCTGACCTGTGAGCAAATATCAGTTCAAGAATCAATAGGACCCAAAAAACTGTCTGCTGCTCACACTTCACACTATCAGTAGAGCAGCAGCAGTGTAGAGATGACTTAAGTGATAACAGCAGCAGACATCCTCTGCTAGAAGCAAGCACACCCTCTGCCCCTGAAGCAACTGCCATCCCTCCCAATCCCACACTCAAGCTCCGACTGAGTGCTGATGGCAGGACGTACCTTGTTCCTCATCTCCTGGACCTCTTTTGGGTTAGTGTTCAATGGAACAAACAGGTTAGGGACAGCAGAGGTGGAAGTTCTATGTCCATCCTCTTTAGTCCACTGTAATATCAAGAACAGTTGAAAAGTCAGAATTATGACAATATTAAGTGACATATCATCCAATCTGTCCAACTTATCTCACATCTGGTCATGCACTGAACATCACAGAGAGGACTGAACCAATGACCGCATTTTCTGGATCACTCAGCAGAGTCACCATGGGAACAGGATATGGCCTCATAAAAACCAGTTAATGGTAGAAGTCGGAATCATGACAAATGGAAAAGGACCATCTAGAAATCTAGCCCAGCTGAATCTGGATCACAATGCAGGCTGACGACAGAGCTGAGTCCCATAACCCCTCGGACCAGCCAGGGGAGGTCCCTGAGAGGCCATTGGTTCACCGCTCTGAGAGTCATCCAACACCAAAGCCAACTGGAAGCATGAGATGACAGGATCATGGAAAGCAATGTGATGCTACTACCCAGGGCTAGGGAGGAGTCTGTACCGTGAGGCAAGAGTGGGCATCACCAAAGTTTTGCTTTAAAATAAATGATAGCATCAGAATGCACTGTCTGCATAAATACTTCAACCCAAGAAAATTATTGTATGAACACTTATACAGTAGCTACCTGGTAGAAGAGTTTGGTGATGTCGAATGTTTTATATAACTTAATATTTTTGAGTGTTACAAAAATATCCCAAACTTGAAGCGCTTCATGAGTCCTTAATTTAAGGCTGTTTTAGATATCAGCGCATATTGTCGGCACGCTGTGTCTTCCACTCATAATTTTTTTGGATATCCAATCAAATATGAGATTTTAAATCAAATTCTAATTCTTAGGTTTGAGTGGGCACTGAACACTAAAACAAGCCCATCTTCAAGAGCAAATGTTATGCCTTTCAGAATATTTTCGAGAGGCAATAAGATAGCCATAAACCATACAACTTTAAAGAAAGCAACAAAACTGTCAAATGCTTAGCCACTGTGAAGGAGAGTGTGGAATGGGCATGGAGCTGTGGGTACTCACTGATGGTTATCTTCTCAGATAAAAACAACTCCAGCGTTTTATTAAAAACAATTTTTAGGCAAAACATCAAAACAACAACCTCAGAAGCTGGAATACATTTTAAAATTAACAACAATCATTATAAATTAAAATATACCAACCTGGGAATACTGCATGGAATTTGTATTACTCCAGAACAATAAGAAACAAATATAAATGCTGAATGAGGTCTTCCCTTCAATGTACACATTGACTAAAATGCCTACAGTGATTTAATTTTGTTCAAGTGAGTAGTAAATAAAGCTCAAAGTTGCTGCCGCACAGGCACTTTGGAAAAATTCATCACAGCAATTCAGCACTATGTACACCATCAGCAGAAAGGTGTGTTATTTTTTTTAAACAAGTAAAAAAAAATAAGCAAATGAAGCAAATTTTAAAAAAGGGAGACAGGAGTGGGGGAAAGGAGACAGGGAGGGAGGGAGAAAGAAGGGAAGAAGAGAGACGCTCTCCAATGCTCTGAGCCCCACAGCCACGCAGGGTCCCTGCCCACGTGACATAACTGCTCAGGAGCACAGAGGCTTCTCACCAACTGTGTGTCAGGCAAACACCAGGACCACCTGGGGAAGACAAAACTCTTTTTTCCTTAATAAATCTATAAAATAAAAGCACTGTTACAAGGGGAAAAGAAAGTCCCACTTCGTTTATTTAGTTGCCCATGGTTTTAGGAGCATCCAACCTAATTTCAACTGAACTCCTACAGAACTTGTCATGCATAGATGAGTCTGTCCCAGCCTCTCTACTACATTTTAAAGCAGAGCTGGGTAGACTGTTGGAGGTAGGTTACAGGAGGAGTAAAGACCAATCTTCAAAGGAAGGTCTCAGCATCAGGACATCAGAGCACCTTTCAGGGCAAACAATAACGGAGCAGCATCAATACTGAAACGAAGCACCCCTTGCAGCGTCTGTCGCTGGTGCCTGCAGATGGCCTGCGCTGCACTTGGGTCATGCCGCACCCAGCAGGAGTCAGAAAAAGACTCACCACTATGGCCGTCTACTCACATGCAACAGTCCATGCAGAGGGCAGCTGGTGGTATGCATTCGGAGGCTTTGGGATAGAAAGCAAGGGAACAACGCTAAGGAGAGGGAACAAGGGTCAGCAGAAAAATACATCAATGCACAAGGGAAAACTGCTTAAGAAAACACTAAAGAGTTAAAGAAGAGATTTTAGTGACTTGATGAAACACTGGAGCTTACACTAAAATAGCAGATTTAGGACAGGACTACGTTTTCATGCAGGAAATATTAAGAGTCCTTGAATATAATTTGAATTAAATGAGAGGTTATAAGTTAATACGTGTAAATTATTTAGTATTTTTGCTATGTATGGAATCAGATTATAGTAGAACTACTGAGGAAGCATATTATATCTTAAGCAGTTTCAAGCAGACTTTAATTTTAGCTAATGCATAAAGTGGACTTAGGGTCAGACTAAACGAAAGTGAATGAGGTTCGCTTTCCATCTGAGTGAGAAGAGCTAGATCCCAAAGCCTCCGAAGCCCCAGCTACCCAACTTGCTCTACATCATCTAACTATGAACAGTAAGGTAGGCACAGACCAAGCAGTTGGTAATACAGCTTGGCACGCAGACACCGGACGAGAGAGACTGCAGCAAGGGTTTCACGTGATCGTGTGTAATGTTCGTCCACACCTTAGTCTTCGACTTGGGACTGCTTCCATTCTGCCCTTCCTCAGAAGCTTCGTCGCCCCGGCCAGAGTTCAGCCATCTTGTCTTCTCTCGCTGCTGCTTCTGAAAACTGTGTCTGAGAGGGGAGCAAGTGCTCGAATCACCGTCACTAGCAAAGGAGTAACCTGTGACACTAGCAGGAACCTCCACATCGCTGTATTTTTTAGATTTCTCTCTCAGAGCAGGGTATCGATAAGGGTAGCCAGTTCTGTAGCCCTAGGGTCCAAAGAGAGTGAAAGACAGTCAATATTCCAGATCTCAAAACAAGGTTTCACTTTGCAAAGTCGTGTGAAAACTTCAAACTGAACTTATGCATACCATACTACTTAGCAATCCCACTTCTAATTTTATGCCCAAGAGAAGCACATGTGTTCCACTAGACCCTAAAATGTTGACAGCAGCTCTATAACTAATAAATCACAATTGGAAACCAACCAAACGTCCATCAATAGTAGAACAGATAAAATGTGGTATATGCATATAATGGCCTATGATGCAGCAATAAGAATAAGAATACTACCAAATGCAACAATATGGATGACTCTCACAAAAATGAAGTTGAGTGAAAGAAACCAAATGGGACAAGAATATACACTGTATGAGTTCACTTATAAAAAGTACAGAAGGGCCAGGCTCGGTGGCTCAGCCTGTAATCCCGCGCCTTTGGGAGGCTGAGGTGAGTGGATTACCTGAGCCTGCGGGTTTGAGACCTCATCTCTACAATAAATCAAAAACTGGCAGGGCATGGTAGCACGTGCCTGTAGTTCCAGCTACTTGGAAGGCTGAGGCGGAAGGATCGCCGGAGCCCAGCAGGTCGAGGCTGCGGTGGCCGGGAGCAGCCACTGGACTCCAGTCTGGGTGACAGAGTGAGACTCCAACTCAAAAAAAAGAAAAAAAGGATTTGTTCCTTTTTTCGCAAAACTGAAATTATATCTTAATTTTTGGGGAAACAATTCAGCATTTTTCTACCTGTAAACATTCAATAAAATATTTCTTACAGCCCTTCCGCCATGGCAGCCATTGGAACGTAGCAGCCATGGCCTTGCACTACCCCATGGCCGTGGGCTTCAACAAGGGCCACAAGGTGACCAAGAACATGAGCAAACCGAGGCACAGCTGCCGCCACAGGCACCTGACCAAGCACACTAAGTTTGTGTGGGACATGATCCAAGAGATGTGAGGCTTCACTCCCTACACGTGCCATGGAGCTGCTCAAGGTCTCCAAGGACAAGTGGGTGCTCAGGTTCAGCAAGACATAGGTGGACACACATCCACACCAAGAGGAAGCACAAGGAGAAGAGCTGAGCAACGTCCTGGCTGCCATGAGGAAGGCAGCGACCAAAAAGGACTAAGCCTCCCAGTCCCTCAATAAAGCCTTTGCAGAAAAAAAAAGAAACAAAATTTCTTATAGTATGGAAACTGTCAACTATTCTCTACCTTACAAAATTATTAACAAGCAACAAATGCAGCTGATCAGATGCTAAGTTAAAACATGGACTATGATCAATGATTGCTGTCCAGTTCACTTCTTATAAACTACAGGGCCTTCTAACCTTACGCATGATAATAATCATCTGTGCACATTAAGGACACTGAATAAAACACACTTTTTGCCATGAATGTCTCTTTTATCTTCCTCCCCTATCAAATCAGTTGCTGCCTGATTTTGATTTCCTTCTCCCCAACTTCTAGCATGTACTAAATGCATAAGATGTGGCAGGCTGGTGTGGATTCTTACCTCCTGTCTCTCCTTTCTCACTTGACTTTCAGGCAGAAGAACAGTAAATGTTACAGGAGACAGGGGGCTTTATGGGTAGGCCAACCGCAGCATGCCTCGCACGCTGGGCCAAGTGAAATGATCTGCTCCCAACAAGCATGCCCGGGCCATGGCTACCCTACTCTCAAGACTTCTACAGTTGTGACCGCTGGAACTACACTATTCTGGCCGGCCACCTGACACCAACTGCTTCTTCCACCTTCTTTTTGAGTTTCTGCTCCTCTTCCCGCTTCCTTAACCAATCAGGCCCGATCTCTGCCCTAAAGCTCTCATCACTCCTATCACCACACACAGATCACAAGGGCAGAGCTGCATCTGGAATTACTAGGTCATGAACTCCTGGGGGCAAGAACTGTGTCCTATTCATGAATCAATAGTAGACAGTCAATTACTGCAATCAATATTGTTTAAATGAACTCAAACATTATGCAAGACTCTGCTCTCTCTGTTCATTCCTCTGCCACTGATTAAATCTACTTCTGTAACTATCTATCACTTCCAGACAGAAAACTCCTAATTCTCTCTTTCTAGCCCCAATATTCTCCCAAATGCAAAGAATTTCTGTGAGGACACTTATCATAGCCCAAATAAGACCTGTGAGCTCTTTTTGCTCCAAAATCCTCAGGAAAGTTAAACTTCCTGCCTCCTGAAGCCACCCATCTCACCTGTGACCTGGTCCAATGGCCAGGACTGTCTTCTAGTAAGCTGGAACATGCCGCACTTGCCCAGTATGGCCATGACAGCACACAAGGATGCTGGTCCTTCTAAAGGCATCTCTTCCACCCACTAACATGACTTTTCCTTTCATCTGTACTTCTTAATGTCATGTGGCATGAAAATGGACCTTCCTGAACCCCCCTAAGAAGTCTGATGTGCAGCCTGAAAGGAGCTCTGCTGCAGAGCTATTTGATAACTTGGTTGCAGGGCTGAGACCCAGGGGACAGTGTTCTTACATGGTTCTGAGAATTGAGTATTTAACGAGTTTGGAAAAATCAGAGGTGGGGCCGGGTGTAATTGCTCAAGCCTGTAATCCCAGCACTTTGGGAGGCCGAGGAAAGAGGACTACCTGAGTCCAGGGTTTTGAGACCAGCCTGAGCAACTTGGTGAGACCTCATCTCTACAACAAATCAAAAAATTAGCCAGACGTGGTGACTCATGCCTGTAGTTCTAGCTATTTGGAAGACTGAGGTGGAAGGATTGCCTGAGCCCAGCAGATTGGAGCTGCAGTGGCTATGAGTGTGCCACTGCACTCCAGCCTGAGTGAGAGTGACACACCAACTCAAAAAAAAAAAAAAAAATCAGAGGTAAACCGGAAAGGTACACCTTATAGCACACATTCCAAACTATTTTCAGCAGTGCTGTGGCTCTTTCCATGGAGGCCTTCCTTCTCTCAATTCAGCTTCTGTGATAATACCTATTCTTTTTTTCGCCCAGGCTTTCAGACTTGGACTGATAGTCTACCTACTCTTTGAAGTTATTTCCAAAGGGTTACCTTCTACATAACATTTTCTCTCCAATCCTTGCAAAAGGTTGAAATCCCTCACTGAAGCCCCTTAACACAGACCACATCCTGCATGTACTCATAACACCGTATGTGGTCACACTCTCTCTGCTGTGCTGGAAGTCCCACAGCCCAGCTTCTGGAACATTCTGAGCTCAGGGTCTTCTACACAGTAGTCAGGCAGCAGATCTGCGGAACACATTAATCAGGCCACATACTTCTAGAACTTACTGTTAGAACAAAAACCCCAAACACTTGACTGATTTAGAAAATCTCTTCTCTCTCACTTGTTTGTGGGATGATTATGAGCTAACTCTGCTAGTTATTGTAGCCTATTGTATTCTCCGTGCTTTTGTTCCCACTAAGTCCAAACACAAAATTATCTTTAAAAAACAAAATACAAGAAACCTTCACAACATTTTATCATGATTTAGCTTAGAAGTTAAATAACCCTGGTGTTTTTGATGGTGAAAGCATTTAGACACTGCATGAAGACAGTTATTTTACTTGCCATAAAAACACCAACATGGATGGGCGCAATGGCTCATGCCTGCAATCCCAGCACTTTGGGAGACGGAGGCAAGAGGATCGTCTGAACCCAAGGATTTAAGACCAGACTGGGCAACTTGGCGAGACTTCATCTCTACAATAAATTAAAAAATTAGCTAAGTGTGGTGACACGAGCCTGCGGTTCCAGCTGCTTGGAAGGCTAAGGCAGAAGGATCACCTGAGCCCAGCAGGTCAAGGCCAGCCGTGAGTGTGCTGCTGCATTCCAGCCCAGTCGACAGCAAGGACAGTGAGACTTCAACTAAAAAAAAAAATCCACCAACACTGGTGCTTTTAGAATAAAAGCTTTATCATCCAGTGGTAACACCATTCTTACCAGATTATCGAGCATCCGCATGAGGGCTTCAAATTCCTGCTCACCAATCTGCCATTTTGGAGGTGATACAGTGCCTTCCCCTGCCAGAGACCCCGGGGAACGGGATTTGGCTTTGTACTTCCCAGGATCCAACAGGACTAAGTTGTCTGGTCCTCCTGCACTGGCCAGAGTTCGAACCTTTTCCAAAACACGGAAACACCATTGCTTAAGTTCCTTACTGAGATCAAAAGGATCAGATGACTATGAGAGATCACTTCAATAAAAATGCAGGTTTGTGGCCCGGTGCAGTGGCTCACGCCTATAATCCCAGCACTTTGGGAGGCCAAGGTGAGAGGATTGGCTGAGCCCACAGGTTTAGCCCTGAGACCTAATCTCTACAATAAATTAAAAATTAACCAGGCATGGTGGTACATGCCTGTAGTTCTAGCTACTTGGAAGGCTGAGGCAGAAGGATCACCTAAGCCCAGCAGGTCGAGGCTGCAGTAGCTGTGAGCATGCCACTTGCACTCCAGCCTGGGTGACAGAGTGAGATTCCAATGCAAAAAAAAAAAAAAGGGTAGGTTTCAACAGAATAAAAAAAGAAAGATGGATAACGATGGACTGATCACAAGATTATTTTCAGAAGTTTTACTTTCCCATAACAAAAACATTCAGCACTCAAGTTGATGAACAAGTGAGAAAATAGAGCACCTTTCAGGTCCTACAAAAGACATGAGAAGCATACCTCATCAATAAGGGTACCTGCATAATCTATGTTTGTATACCTAACCCTGAATTGTATCCCACATCTTTAAAACAAATTTTAAAAAAAGCCATGGGACCTCATTATCCCACAGACATAAGTCAGGAAACAGCAGGGAGAATGTGAACATGGGGTTAAGCAGACCTAGTGATCTGATGTAGGGAGCACTCACAGCTGTGAGATCATGAAGTTTCCACCTCTCTGCACCTGTTTTTTCTAAAGGAGTACTGTGAAGGTCATATGAACAGGGATTGAGATTATATAAAAAAAAAAAGCAGCTGGCACTTAGTCTGGCACACACCCGTATTCTACAAATGGTAATGAATTGTATATTTGAAAAATAAAAAATTAGAAATGAGCCGGGTGCATTGGCACACACCTGTAATCCCAACACTTTGGGAGGAGGAGGTGACAGGATTACCTGAGCCCATGGGTTTGAGACCAGACTGGGCAACATGGTGAGACCTCATCTCTATAATAAATCAAAAAATTAGCTGGGCATGGTGGTACACACCTTTATTTCCAGCTACTTGGAAGGCTGAAGTAGAAGGATCACCTGAGCCCAGCAGGTCAAGACTGTGGTGGCCATGAGTGTGCCACTGCACTCCAGTCTGGGTGACAGAGTGAGACTTCATCTCAAAAAAATTAGAAATGAAAGCCCAGTAATCTTTTGCCAACTTAAATTTCTCTTGATCAATTTTCAAATTCATGAGCTCATCTTTGGCAAAGAGATTGCCCAAACACTCACAACAAGCATCAAAAAATCTATGTGAACCCCAGAAACATCTAAATAAATAGCAGACCAACTGGAATGGGCATCCCTTACCTGAATCTCACATGCAACCACAAGGTTATGAATATAATAGAAGGCCTCCTCAACACTCTCTCCAACTGACATGAGCCCATGATTCCGGAGAATAAGAACCTGAGGGAAAAGCATAAAAACTCTATGGGGTATGGCAAAAAGACTGATATTTTGCTTTTTTCTTCCCTCTATAATTTAAAAATCAGAGTTGATGTCTACTGACCTTGCTTTTAGGCCCCAAATTTTTCTGAATCAAAACTTTTTCCTCTTCATCCATCAAAATGCCATGATAGTCATGATAAGCCACTTCTCCAAGGGAAAGCGCCTCTGGGGAGATTGGCAAGAGGCCACATTTCATCGCTGAGACCTAGAGACAAGCAAAAGCCAGCATTAAACAGTGAATGATAACATAGCAAATGCTTTCCTCACAGAAATAAATTTTTTTTAAAAAGAGGAAATATATTATGTTGTTCTCTTCTTGAAAATAAATGAACCTATGAACTTAAAGATAAATTACTTCTGAGGCTCACTAACAATCCGCACTTAAAAACAAAAGCTATCATCACTAAGCTAGGAGAGCCCTTCAAGAAAATCCACATCTTTCTGGACATTTTCCCCACTGATTACAAATGCTGTGAAAGCTTGGATTTAATCATACCATGAGCACTGGGTCTGGTGCAAGGAGTAGACAACAGACTCCTCTGAGAAGTCAATGCATTTCAAAAGGAGGCTTTCCAGTCAAGCACGGTGGCACACACCTATAGTCCCAGCTACTTGGGAGGCTGAGGCAAGAGATTCACTTGAGTCCAGAAGTTTGAGACCAGCCTGGGCAACAAAGCAAGACTCCTTTCTCTAAGAAAACACTCCCTCCATCCCCCAAAAAAGGAGGCTTTCCAAGTGCTGTTAAGGTTTTTGTATACTGTTCATCTTAGGTTACAGGTAAGATTGAAATACTTGAAAATTAGATAAAAGCAAAATCATAAAAGTTTTAGATACTTACACTGTATAATTTTTCTATATTTAAGTAAAATTGAGTCTCAAAGTTAATAATCTAAGTGTTCAGGTTGGGTGCATGGGCTCACACTTACAATCCCAGCACTTTGGGAGGTCAAGGCAGGAGGATCACTTGAGTCTAGGAGTTTGAGACTAGTCTGGGCAACACAGTGAGACCTAATCTCTACAAAAAAATCAAGTTAGCCAGCATAATGGCACATGCCTGTAGTCCTAGCTACTCAGGAGGCTGAGACAGAAGGATCATCTGAGCCAAGGATGTCAAGGTTGCAGTGAACTATGATAGTACCAATGCACTCTAGCCTGGGTGAGAGTGAGAACTCGACTTAAAAAAAAAAAGAAAAAAGAAAAAACCAAAGTATTCATATAGTTCTTACGTTTTCTAAAATTCCCCAAAGTAGCCTTAGAATATGCTAATTTCAAAGGTTTTCTTTTTAATGTATCATTAAATGACTCTAGAATAATAGGCTCCAAATATTAAAATACTATCTATAGGCACAACAATTTCATAGGGAATGGTTAATCTAAAAAGATAATACCACATTTAACTCCCTTCATAGTATCAGTCCTCATGTAAGAAAAAATTTCCTTACCAAGCAAAATTATTTTGATAATTTTAAAAAACCATTACATGGTAGCTGTTCAAAACCATATACTCAAAGGTTCCTCTAATGATTCTTAAAAATTCACGGACATTTTAGTGGTTGAAATACCATGCATTCTTTTGGGGAAAAACTGTATAATTCATAGAATAATATATCTAATAAAACTCTGATGTTGGCATAAAGAACCACATGTTCAAAATAAAATAAATAAACCAGAGATAATACTCATCTAAATAATTCAATACGCATAACAATAGAACATCAATATAGATGAAGCTGAATGCGGTGGCTCACGTCTGTAATCCCACTACTTTGGAAGACAGAGGTGAGAGGATTGCCTGAGTCCAGGGGTTAGAGACCAGCCTGGGCAACTTGGTGAGACCTCGTCTCTACTTTAAATCAAAAAATTAGGTATGGTGGTGCGAGCCTGTAGTTCCAGTTACTTGGAAGGCTGAGGCAGAAGGATCACCTGTGCCCAGCAGGCAGAGGCTGCAGTGGCCATGAGCGTGCCACTGCACTCCAACGGGGGTGACAAAATGAAACTCCTAATTGGAAAAAAAAAAAAAAGATGAAAATACAACATTACTAAATCCACGAGGTCATCTGTTGTACAATAATCCTAAAAGGTCCTTCATATAAAATTGGTGATTAAAATGCATAGTTCAATAGTATCTCACTTTCACATGGCTTGGTTCCCACAGCTAGAATGTGCATTTTAATGCTGAAGGGTCTGGGGTTTTATCGAGATGGCCCGCTCACACTCACACCAGAAGGGATGAGGCTTGGTGAGCAGGCAGGGAGCACTCCAGGAGGCTCTGGCCATGAAAATCAAGCCTCCTAACAGCATGCACTGTCTGTGCCTCTTTCCTCAACTGCTTCTCTTCTTCATCCCAAGCATGATTCAGCCTGGGTTCCACTGGTTTACACAGGACAGCCGTGAGGCAGTCAGGCAGTTGGTTTCTAGGCCTCACCCTCTCACTCTGCCCAGCTCCTTCCCCACAGCCTTTCAACATGCTCAGATTAACACCCTTCACTGAGCCCACCCCCTCATTTTGCCCTCCCCCATCCCAATCTTCTTCTCAAGTAAGGCATCCACTCACTCCTGTCATTTTGCACTTCCCCAGTCTTCAACACCCTGAAATCTGATCTCTCCTCCCATCCTTTATGATTTTCTAGTTGTTAAGTCTAAAAGACATTTTCAGACTTACTACAGGTTTTTGAAAATTAGATGCTACATAGGGAGGGCAATTCAGAGGAAATGTGAAGTGCCTCTCACTAAACAGCTTTGGAATTCAAGACACTACACCAGGGCAGCCACTTACCGCAGCCCCTGCTGGTGTGTGAATGTGCACAATGCACTTCACGTCTGGTCGGGCAGCATAGATTGCAGAATGTAATGTGAAGCCAGCCTGATTTACTCCTAGATTTGTGCTTCCACGATCTACTATATCTCCTTGAAGATTGGTCTTAACCTGAAAGTAAAAACATTTTAAATGTCAAGAGGACTTCAAATTACCCTGACTAGAAACTATTTAAACCCCAGTTTTAAATGTTTATAACTCCTTTCAAAGGTTTTTCTTTAGCTGAACTAATCACATAAAGCATGAGCTCTTTTCTATCTTCTGAGTTTTCTATGTTTAGCTGGATTTAAAGGTGTTTAATGACCTAACATAACCTGCACAGACATGCCACCAAAGAGAAGAACATTCTTACCAAGCTGGATGCAGTAACTTCACTGTAAAGAAGTCCAAAAGGAACAATGAGGAAGTGCTCTTGCTCAGAGTTCACTCTGGTCTGCGGGAAAAATGCCTGAGTTAGTTCAAAGATCCAACTAAAATTATGTGCATCTTTTTTAGGCCACAAACTCATGGGTTTGTTGACAGCATTAAGTCAGCTCTGTAGGGAAACATTTAAGCACAGTACCTATCACAAAGCCAACAGGTACTGAAAGCTTTCCATTACTGTACTGCAGTAATTTATCAAGTACATAAAAGGTTTCTTGGTCACACTCATAATTGCTTTTACAGACAAAAAAATCAGTTTTACATTAGGCCTCTGACAGGTCAATAAATGATTGCTAGTTACTCTATTTCACCTTCTGGTGGCTACCAAACACTATCATAAGCAAAAAGATGTCATTCCTTAGGGGCATAATTTAAACTAAAATCAAGACTTACTTTTAAAAAGTCAAAACAATTTTTTTAAGTATTCAAAACCTGTAGAATGACAGACAATTATAAAAATCACAAATAAGAGCAATCTCTTTCTTACTGCTTGATCTTTTTTTTTTTTTTTTTTTTTTGAGTTGGAGTCTCACTCTGTCACCCAAACTGGAGTGCAGTGGCCGCTCCCGGCCACCACAGCCTCGACCTGCAGGGCTCCGGCGAT